GAAGTTCATTACTGATCCTTTGGGCCTTTTGAAAAGATGCATATTTTCAACCAGTGGTTATGTAATAGCTTTTAGACAAAGCAGGTACTCAATACATTTTTTTTTTTGGTTTAAGATTAACCTAAAACAATCTAGGACTTAATACTTCGTAAAAAGTTGTAACCAGAAAAGAATTATGAAGTAATACGCTCTCAGGAATAAAGAGTAAAAATACAGCATCACAGGAATTACGATAGCTTGGAGAATGCTGTTTCTTGTCTTCTTTTCCATCAAGAATATTTAGACAAATCAGAATTGAAAAAGTATTTTCTTTTGTTTGCATAGAACTCTTATAAAGGAGCAGTACTGATTGACAACAGCAAATGTTAAAGAGGACTATTAATTCAAGTAAACTGGTCATTACATGCTTTCTGAAATATGAACCCTATCCGGTTGGCTGAAGAAACGAGAGATGTTTCCTGTGAGTCAAATACCAGGATCTTTTAAAAGAACCAACATTACTTATGAATGTGACCCCCTACTCAAAGGCCATAGTAAATAACACAAACATGTTATGAATCTGTCTTCATTTAAAAAGGATCACAAACTATGCTTATAATTCTCCACTTGTTTACCTGTGAGTATTCTCCATGAAACTGATGAAACTCAAGGCTAAATAAGGAGGGTAACCCTGATGTTTATATTGTATATATTATTGTAATGCTCCCCTATAAACTTTATGCCCAAAATTTTTAAAAATGCTTTGCGTTTGGAACAGAAAGTCTGAATTCGCTATGTCCTTTGTAATGGACAATGCTTAAAACAATTCAAGTGCTCCTATGGAAAACAACTCGAAATGTTTTGAGTGTACAAGCTATATAATGGCAATTTGAACCTTCCTCTCTCTCTTTTTTTTTTTAACTCAAGACCAAAAATATACATTCCATAGTCTCTTCTAACAGTCATTCGACTTGCAGAAAAATCGGCCAATGTTTAAAATGTTATTCTTCATAAAGAACCTTTGAAACAGTAAAGCAAAGGGAAAAATTCACTCAGGTCCCTTGAATAATGACAACTCAGTTTCCAATTCTCCAGAGAGAATCAGGGGTTTACAAAAATGCAATGAAATCTTTTTGATGACAGATACTTCCTTAGTAAAGAGGGAGGGAACCATCTATCTATTTTTGTAAAGAAAGAGCAGTATACCTATCGGCTACATCTATTCCTTAACAAACTCAATTGTTTTATGTACTTTTCTACACCAAAGTAGTATGTTTGGAGACCATAGTCTGTAGAGATTCTCAGTCATCTAAGTCATGGTTGTCCCAAAGGTGCTTTTTCAGGAGGCAACTGGACTTTCTTTTTTTTTTTTCTTTTGAAGAAGTTTCGCTTCTCATCCAAGAAGCTTCTTCAGCTCTGGCAGGATAGTGAGGAATGGAAGGATTTATAGTCCTTGCAGACAGCTGGTCATTTGCATCTTTTTAGAAGGTTGTTGAAGCACTTGGAGGTTTATCTATGTCCTCATGTCCTCAGGATCACCTGAGTAGTGCTCCTGGTTCCTGTAGTCTGCAATTTTTTTTCCTCTGGAAATCCGTTCCTATTCGCACACCATTCAAAGGGTGTTCATCCCAAATTGTACAGCTAAAAGTCTGTAGTGATTCTCAGTGATCCAGGCTATAGTTGTCCCAAAGGTGCTTTTTTAAGAGGCAACTGGACTTTCTTGTTTTTTCTTTTGAAGCTGTTTCACTTCTCATCCAAGAAGCTGACCTTTGGTGACCATAATTAAAACCAGCATCTTGGTCATTAAGTGAAATGATCACAAAGTGAAACCGCAATTGTGCTTACACTCTTCAGCTTTCCTTTGATTTAGAGACCTGCAAGGGTTGGTTGTAAGGTTGTAAGGTTGTAAGGTTACTTTTTCATTCTTATTGTAACTGTGAATGGTTGCTGTACAAGACAGTTGTTAAATGAGAATCGCTTGTATAGTTTTTTGATTCTAGCCGTAAAACAGTAAGTGTGCTTTTGTGTAACTCTTATCTTTTCAGAAGTTTTCAAATTCATCCATATTCTGAATAGAATTACTGGAATTGTTTTCCACATGTGGACCTTTGAGTAGGAAATGTGGGCAAGATACAGTCCTTGGATAACAGATTGCCAAGTTCAGCACTAAGAGATATGCTTTTTTTTTTCCAGATGAGACTCCAGTGGAATAAATGTATTTTTTAATCTTCCTCAGAAGCAATTATGCTCTGGATTAAACTTGGAAAAATACAGGATTATGTTTATAGGCTGAGAACACCAGGTTCTTAGTTCTGTAGGTGATTGGTTGGGAATATTAATGCTGTTAGAAGCATTGTGGGGAGATAAAATAAATAAATTATACATAGACATAAATATAATTAAATAAAATTCCAAACTGACTCTTCCTGTTCAGTCAATCAGAATTAGGAAGAATTGGAAATGATTTCTTCTGTTGACGGAGCTCTATTTAATTGAAAGCACAGGATGTAAAATCCAAGTTATTGAATAGACAGAAAAGATAAATATCTACAAAATAAAATAAAAATAGTTCATGCTGCCTCATGACAGATGCTTTATTCAGGTAGTCCTCAACTTACGATCACTCTTGAGCCCAAAATTTATGTTGCTGAGAAATTTGTTAAGTGAGTTTTAGCCCATTTTACGACTTTTTTGCCACATTTGTTAAGTGAATCACTGCAGTTGTTAAATTAGTAACCCGGTTGTTAAGTGAATCGGGTTTCCCCATTGATTTGGCTTGTCAGAAGGTTGCAAAAGGTGATCGCATGAGCCCGTCATAAACGGGACTCACTTCTCAAGTATCTGAATGTACATCTGAATGTAAATCATGTGACCGCAGGGATGTTGCAATGGTCCTAAAGTGTGAGAAATGGCCCTCAGCCACTTTTTTCAGTGCTGTTGTAATCTTGAAGAGTCGCTAAGCGAATTGCTGTAAGTCGAGGGCTACCTGTACATAGTTCATTTTTATCTTTTAGCAATAACAGGCAAAAGATGGACCCACATACAGTATATTACTTTTGGGAGAATATTAGACCTGTAGGACCTGGAATTCTAGGGATCAAAAGGTAACCTGTCTCTGCTACATTATCCTTCCCCAACCTGGTGCCCCCTCCCAAGGGTGGGTGTGATGGACACAGTGTGTGTGTGTGTGTGTGTGTGTGTGTGTGTGTGTGTGTGATGCAAAGCCATTGCCAAGAGTAATCTAAGACTCTGAGCATCTGTGGAAAATTGCTGCTCCGTAATGAAGCCTGAAAGATTTAGATTTAGAACCAGGAAGTCTTCTTTTTCAGTGAAGGATTCATTCTGGCTTCCATCTATTAATGTTCTTGACCTTGATTCAGCCGTGCTCCAAATAATTCATTCTCAGAAAAGGACCGTACAGGTTTGGTGTGCTCCATTTTTAATGGAGGGGATTCAATTCTGAAGACAATTGGTACTTCTGGGCTGCTTTGCAACAACCGAGCACAGTCCAATGGACCAAGGCAGCTTTCATTCTCTGTCTCTTGTCTTCTGGGATGGAGAAATTACTCCTGGGTCCTTTCCATCTCATCACCAACTTTCTTTTCACCAAGCAAGCAATCTCTTGCTTTAACATTTCAAAAATGTTGAAATCTCTTGCTTTAACATTTCAAAAATGCCTTGGTAGTACAGTGGTTTAATGCACCCTGTTATTAACACAGCTGCCTGCAATTTCTGCAGGTTCGAATCTTACCAGGCTCAAGGTTGACTCAGCCTTCCATCCTTTCTAAGGTAGGTGAAATGAGGACCCAGTTTGTGGGGGCAATAAGCTGACTTTGTATAAATATACAAAAGTATGAAGGCTATTGCTTAACGCATTGTAAGCCGCCCTGAGTCTCCGGAGAAGGGTGGCATATAAATCAAATTTTTTTAAAAAATGGATCATATAACCCCAAATAACTGAAGTGGAAGAACTTGGTTCTTTGTTTCCATAGACTGACTCCCAAATGTTTAATTGGAAGTGTGTAAAAAAACAAGGCTCACTGCTGATCTGAATCCAGTGAAACTATTCCCTACGTTGCTTCTCATCTTGAGGCTTTTGCTTTTTGCTTCAATGACATCTCCTGTCTCCAGAAAATCTTCCTTGAGCTTAATAGCTTTCCATTTCTGTTCACTACCGTAGTTTCAGCAATGCATTTTTCTAAATCACTTTCAGTTCTATTTAAGGGAGTTCTTTCCAGTGCCAAGAATGCTGGCAGAGCGATTGATCATTCTAGCGTCATTCCTAGCCAAGAATAAAAGAAGCTGGCAAAGGAGGCTATGGGTATCTCATGCGTGCGCAGGATAAGCAAGCCTGGTTTGTCTCCACTGGCAATATTAAATGAAGCAATGGCATCCTCTATCACCACCTTAACAAAGCTGATTTTTGCAGGACAGTCCTGTGCATGTCCACTCCAGAGAACTGAACACAGGGTTACTTTTTTCAGAAAGAAGAAGGGAGGGAGGGAGGGAGGGAAGGAATGAAAGAAAGAAAGAAAGAAAGAAAGAAAGAAAGAAAGAAAGAAAGAAAGAAAGAAAGAAAGAAAGAAAGAACTAAAGAGGGAGGGAGGGAAGGAAGGAGGTTAGGGAGGGGGAAGGAAGGAAGGAAGGGGAGATAGAATTTCAGCCGTGGTTGCTGTTTTAGGGTGTTTTGAGCATAGGTAAGCAGTGTTGCATTTTTATACAAAAATCTATTGTGATGTTAATTTTTTAAAAAAGTGAGCCCAAATCAATAATGAAAAGCTGACCCTAAAGGGTTTTTTTTGCGGCTCTTGGATCTGCAGATCAAATGCTCCCTCTTGTGGCTAAAATATAATCTTTCCGCAATTGTGTCTCGTTTGCTTGGAATTAACTTTATGTAATGGTCACTTATGATGGTAGTAAGAAACATAACTTCATTTTATAATGAGGTGAACAGATTCTCACTAACCTAAGCGAATATGCCAAAGACATTTCAATAATGTAGTTAAGAACAAATGTGTTAAGTAATCTGATCCCCCCCCCTTTTTTTATTACCAGGAATTACCTATTCAATTAATTTGAGCACCCAAGCTCTTATCTATAGATCTGCTTCACACAGTCCACTGAAGTTGGGGTTTCTAATGTGGTGCCCAAGAGTGCCAATGAACTCATAGACGCACTGTCAGTCCTATAAATAGAGAAACTGAGGTTGAAATTCCTTCTTTGAGTTCATCATCCAAACACATTCTTCCAATACTGCTAGTGGTTTTACCTTGACTGCTGCCAGTGCTCTTTCTTACGCTGTGAAACAGGAAGGATCTTATCCTAGAGGTATTCTTGCAATGCAGATCAACTGTCACAAGCAACTCTTCAAAGTGGTCACAAACACATTTGGGGAGATCCAATTACAGTCTCTATTAACTAGTAACCCACCAGATTTGGCGGGCAACTCATTGCACTGGATCTTCCAATAGGTAGCATTGCTTCCTTCTTCTCTGCCTGAAATCTCTTTACAACTTTTCTTTTCTCTCCTGTAGAATAGAATAGAATAGAATAGAATAGAATAGAATAGAATAGAATAGAATAGAATAGAATAGAATAGAATAGAATAGAATAGAATAGAATAGAATAGATTTGTAACAGTCATCTATTTTAGAATTTAGAATAGAATAGAATAGAATAGAATAGAACAGAACAGAACAGAACAGAACAGAACTGGAATGGAATGGAATGGAATGGAATGGAATGGAATGGAATGGAATGGAATCGGTGGGTTTCAAAAATTTTTTACTTCCGGTTCTGTGGCTGTGGCTTGATGGGCGTGGCAGGGGAAGGATACTATAAATCTCCATTCTATCCCCAATCCAGGGGAAGGTTACTGCAAAATCCTCACTTCCTCCCGATCAGCTGGGACTTGGGAGGCAAAGAATAGATGGGGGTGGGGCCAGTCAGAATTTTTACTACTGGTTCTCCAAACTACTCAAAATTTCCACTACCGTTTCTCCAGAACTGGTCAGAACTTGCTGAAACCCACCTCTGAATGGAATGGAATAGAATAGAATAACAGAGTTGGAAGGGATCTTAGAGGTCTTCTAATCCAATCCCTTGTTCAAGCAGAAGACCTTATACCATTTCAGACAAGTGGTTGTCCAACCTCTTCTTAAAAACTTCTAGTGTTACAGCATTCACCACTTCTGGAGACAAATTGTTCCATTAATTAATTGTTCTAACTGTCAGGAAATGTCTCCTTAGTTTATCTACATTCAACCGTTCCTTTCTTATTGAAAGGAAAAGCTCTTGCTTCCTACTTAGCATATTTGATCCTTCAATTATATATACCCTTCTGGAGGATGCAGAGTTAAATAGGACAAGTCAACTTCAAATCAACATGATCACTACAATAAATTCCTGAATAGAAATTAGTTTGAAATTGGAGGAAGTCTGCCTGAGAAAAATCCCCCACTACTGATCTTTGGAGTGCAGTGGGGTTTTTTAAAACTTTCATTATTGTAGGATGAAATACAAATAAAAACAAAAAAAACATTGAGAAAAGAAAAGAGAAGAATGCAGAAGAAAGAAAAAAAGTAAATTAACTTCTGACATTTTTCAATGCAATGGAATACAAAAAAAAAGTTACAGCCTCAACCTTTTGCTTCCTATTTCTAAATGTTTCAAGCCATTTCTATAGCATCAAAATCATTCTTATCATTAAGTAAAATTAAATGAAATTAATTTTATGAAAATTTTATGAAAATAAAATTAAAACCTCAGTTTTTCAGTTTTTCAAAATCCAGAAGTGGTTTCCAAATGGATACAAAATTAGATAACTTCTCTTTAATTAGAACAGTGAGTTTTGCCATCTCTGGCCAATGCCAACGCTTTTACTGCCCGTTCTTCCATTGTGGGGATTACTATGTCATTCCATTTTTGTGCATACAAGATTCTTACGGTTTTCAACATATATATTCCAAATTTTCTTTCAGGCTCTTTACCCACAATTTACCAGTTCTTGAGCTAGAAGTAAACTATAGTGTCATGAGGTTTGCAGTGCCTGATGATGACTTCTATCTAGCCATTGTTGTGGGTTGTCACTAAATGGGGTCTTTATTTCCAGGCACGATGGCTCAGCAGTTAGGAAGCTGAGCTTGTGAGCTTTGACAACCCAGGTTCGAGACCTGAGCATCACACAACAGACAGTTCCTGTTCTTGTTCCAACTCCTGCCCACTTAGCAGTTCGAAAGCATGCAAATGTGAGTAGATAAATAGGTACCACTTCGGAGGGAAAGTACAGCATTCCATTTTTCACCACACACTCTGCGCTGCAGCGTGATGTCATGCTGGCCACATGACCCTGGAAATGCCTTCAGACAATGCTGGCTCCCTTGGCTAAGAAACAGAGATGAACACCGCCCCCTAGAGTCACTAGACACTACTGGCTAGGGGAAATCTTTATTTCCAGTATACATGGCAAGCTAAAGAAAGAGATTGGTCAGTTCCTCAGCGATGTTCCTGCCCCTTCCAACAGGCATCAAGAGATCAATCAGTCATTCTTCATAATGTGGGAGGAGTCTGGGAGAAGTTGAGTTTTAGTAGATGGCTAGACTGGCAAGTTTAGCCATGTGACAAGGGTTAGGATATGCCCAAAGGTTTACATGGAACTGTTCAAAAGGAACCTGGCTAACAGCTAACAAGCCATTAGAAAAGGAAAGTTTGGTGAAATTAATGTCATTTACTGCAAGACCAATGCACTAGGAGTATTGGAACAATTGACAGCTTATTTAAAAAAAAAAAATTATACACACACCCATGGGATGTGCAACTTAGACAAAAATTATCCTGAGTTTAAGCTTGTCAAAAATAGACTGTTCCTGTTGGCTTGTTAAAAATAGACTGTACCTCCTTCCAGTTGGCATGCTGGCTTTCAGCTGCCCGTCCGCATAAGCAGGTGTTGTGAAACAATAGCTCCGTGGTCCTATTTCCAAGCACCCTTGTTAAAAAAAAAAAAAAGACAAAGTTTGATTTCAACCAGGATCTTGAACACATTGGATGTCCAAGTGTTTATATCAAAGAAGAAAAGTAATGGACACCTACTGTTTATTCATCTTTCTACTTTCAGGTAAATCATTTCAATCGGTTGCATAATTTTAGTCTAACTTGTTCGTTGGTACAGCAGCTCCTATGGAAAGAGCAGACAGAGAGAAAAAACATTCCTAGGGAAGTCTGCATGTCTATGTATTTGAATGTATATGCATGAGAGAGCGAGAGCACATGTCAGCATTTATTTTCCCTTTACTGTGTTGTTATCTTAGTGATTCATACCCAATAGATAAATAATAGATAAAAGGAAAGAGGAGAATTTTGTCTTTGTCTGCCTTATATAGGCCTTAATTACGCCCCGACTTGGAGGGCTACAAATAGGTTATATGAGGGAAGAAACCAATTTTTGTTTCCTCTTTGTTTTCCTTTTGACTGTACCTGCCCCTCTCCTTTAACTTCTGATCCACAGGGATTCCATTCATTCTGCCTGGAAACAACCTGATATTAAAATACCAACAATAGAACTTGGAATTTTAAACTTGCTTGCCTTTTGAAGACATCATGGACATTGTTTTACACCTTCCATCCCATTTACTTTAATAAAAGTATTTCTTCAATAGGAATTTTAGATGTATTCTTTTTTTAATTGACAGACAGTCAAAGTTTTCTTTGTGCTTCACTGAAAGTTCCTCACACCAAAACTACCCTCCCCACCTAATTTGCAGGGAATCCTTTTCTGTTGAAGAGATCCACAATCTATTAAAGAGATTTTTCAAAGAGCTGGAGGCTGGAATTGAATCCGGTATATCTTAAACAGAGGACCAGCCTTACTTAAAGATCAGATTTTCCCCCAAACTTTTGTTCTGCACTTCTTTCAGTCGTAGCTTTAATTTCTCTATAGCTTGATATTTGCAAGCCATTTACTCTGGATCCGTCTAATCGTTTTATTTCTAGTTGTCATTTACCAACTTTACATCATGTTATAGTCATTCTCTCTTAAATTATAGCGTTCCTTCCCACTGACCCGTCTGTATATTATAACCAAAGTTCCTAGCCCATTTTATCATGCATTTTTAACTTCTTCAATTTCAAATTTCAACAAACATTTATACATATTCGCAATAGTTCAGCCTTGAATTCCATCTTAGATAGCCTATTACCTTTTTAACTATATTAAAGCTTTCTCTTAATTGCACATATGCAATCCATTGAAAACTAAATACCTCTGCAGTCAGTTATTCTCTTGACTTCATCTTAAATTCTCCGTGTAAGTGGAGAGGGCAGCCTTGGGGTTAATAATCTGATAAGATGTTGTTTTTGCAATCCCTCTCAGTTTTACTCATGACACAGTCTAGGTTTCCTCTTCTAATGGCTGCTGTCATTTTGGCTTCCTTTATGCTGAGACTCTCCAAATATCAAATCATAGATTTGCATGAACCAAAAGTGTAAGCAACAGAAGAAAGAGGAGCTGGCTTTTATCAGTGGATCTTTGTTACCTTCACTGCAAAGAACTTTAATAATAACCATTTTCTTCTTTAAAGATGTCAACCAAAATAAGAAAACTATTTTTATTTTTATTCATTGTAGAAGTCGTTCTAGACACAATTTTAACCATATCAAATTGCTTGGGAGAGGATCCGGTTGAAAGGAAGTCTGGTGGCCAAGGCATTCCTTCAGTGATGATTAGCATTTGGGGTGTAATTAACCATCATTTAATTCCCCAGTTCCAACCACAGGAATGAGGCATTTATTTACACTGAGAGAAGCAAATCCTTGAGGCGCCAATGGTAGATCCCAGGGCAGTTCCTATAGAATTCTTTAGGTGTTCTCCTGTGATGGAGGGTAAAACCCAGATTCCCCAGATATTGAATGACAGCCAGTTCAATCAGGTTTTTCAAAGAGAAGACGAGAAACACTATTCTCTATGTCTTCGTCAGCAAAATATGCTGGGAACTGCTGTCAGAACCTGGTATATTTCTATGGCCAAAATCTATGAGATGGAAGGGACAACTAAAAAAAAGAAGTCAGCTGGTTGATGAATGACTAGTTATTATCAGACCAGCGGTTACCAAGTCTGGAAAATGGTCTGGAACAATATCTCATTATGTTTCGGAAGTCTTTAAAAACTTGATTGTTCCCTCAGCCCTTTGAGTAGTAAGGTATTGGTGAAGCCCAGTTGGATATGCTTACAATGTGTAGCTATGTGTTCGAGGGTGTTTGTCTGAATGCCTGAAATTACTTTCTATTGTTATTCTTTTATTCTTTTCTATTTTTAGAATAAGCTGCCCTGAAGTAATTTCAGAGTTGGGTGACCTCTAAACCTTGTAAACGAATGACTGAATAAATACTCTTTCATATGACTACAGTGGAGAAATCAGCACTGATTAAAACTCCACTATAGGCTCAATACTGCAGGCCTGGAATGCAAGCATTTGTCAATCATTTAGCATCTTCCAACTTCATTTATTGGTTCAGGTTTTTTGTTTTTTTTAAAGATTAGTTTAATTTAAAAACCTAAATTGAAAGCAAGCATGTTGCAATGAAAAAAGCCAACATCGATTTGATTTTCCAAAAGTTTTTGAGTTCTACAAAAGAACTCAATCCAATCCAAAAGCATTCTTGGGAAATTTAAACAATAGAAGGATTATACCCAGTGGTGGAATTCAAAATATTTTACTACTGGTTCTGTGGGCATGGCTTGGTGGGCATGGTGTGGCTTGGTGGGCGTGGCAGGGGAAGGATACTGCAAAATCCCCATTCCCTCCCCACTCCTGGGGGAAGGATATTGCAAAATCCCCATTCCCTCCCCAGTCCTGGGGGAAGGATATTGCAAAATCCCCATTCCCACCCCACTCTGGGGCCAGCCAGAGGTGGTATTTGCCAGTTCTCTGAACTACTTAAAATTTCCGCTACCGGTTCTCCAGAACCTGTCAGAACCTGCTGAACAGCACCCCTGATTACACCCAATGTGATGTCTGCAACCCAGGAAAGAATCAGAGATCATCCTGGAAAGCCTAGGACATGAGCAGTCATTCTGGCTTCTCCCTCAGGCTCCAAACACCCAGCTCAGCTCCAAACACTTGGCATCCGCTCAGCCTTTCACAATGTTTTTTCACTGTTTTTCAAATGTTTTTCAAATATATTGTCTTGCAGCTATTCTAGTCTATGGTTCCAGTCATGAAACCCGCCTGGTTAAAGATTTATTTGCGAACTACAACAAAGTTGTGCGTCCAGTAAGCAATCATACTCATGCTGTGAAAGTCATCGTGGGACTGCAACTTATCCAGCTGATCAATGTGGTATGGTAAAAGTGTTAATAGCAATAGCACTTAGACTTATATGTCATTCCATGGTGCTTTTACGGCACTCTCTGGGTCCTCGTTTTACCAACCTCAGAAGAATGGAAGGCTGAGTCAATCTTGATCCTGTCAGGATCGGACACCATTCAGTGGGCAGATTTAGCCTGCAATACTGCATTCTAACCACTGCGCCACCACAGCTCTTAACATGTCGTTATCATTATTATCAGTATTCCCATTCTTTTGGGGGGTTTGCTTAATGAATTAATTAATCAAATAATTAGTTACCTTGTGACGAGATGGGCGGCAAGCAAATTTAATAAAAAAAAATAATTAACTGAATGAATTCATTCATTCTTCCATTCTCACCACCAACAATCTCAATGCCATAAAATCTTATCTTTTCATATACATTGTAACTTCTTTCATAATTAAACCTACAGCTTCACTTCCATGTGCATTTACTTCTTGGTTTACGATGGCAATTGAAACCAGAATTTCTGTTTCTAAGTGATGCGGTAGTAAATTGCAATATCATGTGATCGCAGCATCCAGTAGATTGGTCATCTAGCCCAGGGGTCTCCAACAGTGGTGGGTTGCTCCAGGTTCGGCCCGGTTCTACCAAATAGGTAATAACTTTAGGAAGTAGTTCTCCGAACTGGTAGTAATGACAGCCAGGCCACACCCCCGAACCGGTTCCCTGGTCACTGCTTGCTCACCCACCCGAAGCTGACCGGAGCAAAGAAGCCTCTCAGCCACCTGGCTGGAGGGTGCCGAAAAGTCCTTCAGCTGGTGAGAAGAAAGCTGCACATGCGTGAAGATGGCGGCAGCGACCGGAGGTCTTTCCGGCGCTGTGCGCCAGTGGCTGAGTGGCAAAGAAGCCTCTTGGCTTCCAAGTTCAGCAGCAGGCTCAGTCCCTTCACACAGGGTCTCTTTTATCTGTGCCCGAGAAAGATCAAAAGGCACAGAGCAGCCTTTAATGACAAAGTCGCCTAGATGAGGTAGAAGAAAACAAACCACTGAGGGAAGGAGCCCACCGAAGCTGCCGGCGTTGCAGCCCACCCCTCTCTCCACAGCTTGGAGCTCCAAGCAGAAGAAGTCCTCGGATGTTGCGAAGAAGCGGTAGCTCTGGGTGCACCACGCCTGCTTCTTTCTCTTTGAGAGCCGCTTTGCAAACAAGGTACAAAGCGGCTCTCAAAAGAGAACGAAGTGGGCGTGGCGCACCCAGAGCTGCCACTTCTTCACAACAGCCAAGGATGGAAGAGTTCGCTCAGGAGCAATGCCAGCAAGGGAGGCGGCTGGGTCGGAGAGAGGTGTAGCCTGAGCTCTCTGGGATGGGTAAACAAGTGTGGGGAGGCGAAGGGGAGTGGACTTGGCCCTCCATGTGTTGCACCCCCCTCCCAGCCTTCGCCCACGCCTCTGTGCCACCAGCATCTCCCAAAGATGCCACCGTCATTGGAGCCGTGATAGGGACTAAGGCAGCCCAGTAGCAGCCATGAGCCATGCTTTCCTCTAAGCACTGTGGGCGGCAGAGGGAAACAGGTCCTTCTCTCTGTGAGACTTGGAGGAAAGCGCAGCTCATGGCTGCTAAAGCACCTCAATCAGCTACAGCCCAGACGAGCTGAGGAACTGAAGGGAATCT